CTGCCAGTTGCACTCTAAATGATTCCAATTTGTAACGCAATGCAACTTGAAAAAATCCAATGATTCTACTTCCATGCCATACAAGTTATTTGACTTAATTTGTTCACAATAACTCACTGTTAGTCAGGTCTTTGAAATAGCTCGCATAAAAGTGAACTCTGTTGGAGGTTTAAAAAACTCTTATTTCAATACACTCATTCTATGCTTCTATTTAGTTATTTTTAAAATCTAAGAGTTTTTGTTAATTGATTCTTATAATTTAAAAGCTTTTGTGAAAGTGATTGTGGAATTCTGGCGTTTATGTCTTCAAAATTAATACGATCTTGTGATACATTATTGTCAGACTATTACATACTGTTAAAGTTATCTCTTTTTTACAGTGATTGGCTTTGGATTAAGCAAAATGAGGGTTCAGTGATAGGACACTGACTAACCAAACAAAGGGTCTGGGTTCCAACCCCCGTTTGACGCACTCCCAAATCTCGCTTAGCCTGTGGTAAGCCTGCTAAAGATGGAAGGCTGGGCGTGAGGTAACCTTATCTTGTGAAGAATCACCACAGCCACTGAAACTTCAAAGCTCTAGCTTGAAGTCCATGTTCACCTGGGAACGCAAATGTATAAAATTATGATAATTAGACATTACAGTACTTCCGTGACCTCCAGTAAGATAAACACCAGTGATTAAAAAGTAAGTTGTGTCGCTCCACATAAAACCTACAAAAGGGTTGATTGTTCTATGCTTGATACGATTTCTTAAGGCAGTATAATTATAAGGCTATGAAATAGCTTAAATTAAGGCAACTGTGACTTCACACTGATACTTTTTAATGCATGCATGGTAAGTGTATAGACAGTGAATTTTATTTCTGAGCAGAGAAAGAACAAACATTGGTGCAGAATAATATGGATCTATTTTATCTAGTTGGTTCTCATCAGCTGCATACAACCTATGATCTTCAATAAATAGAAGTCAGTGGAAAATGTTAACATAACTTTGTCATCAACACGCATATGAAAAGATGAATGATGGATGACGAGGATGAGGAAAACCTTATCCATTATGCAAGTTAAAAAGTAAAAAGAGGCGAGAAGGCGTTGAAAAGATAAGTTACTGAAGTTAGAAGACCAGTAGTTATTAAGGGATTAGTCACCAGGGTAATTAGAGTGCAACGACAGATTCCTTTCGGACACATAGATGAGGTTTCGGCCGTTTTACTGCGATAGCCTCAGCAAACCGAAGAAAACTTGAGTTATTTTGTCTGTTAATTATTTTGAATGATGCCAGTGAGTCTACTCGGTGTCCAGTGTCGATCGGGTGTTTGGTAATTGAAGAGCTTAAACCACTTGACCCCTTTAACCGAAAGCTCCTAGGTATACGTTCTAAGGATCTGACTTAGGCCCTTCTTTTGTTCTTACGATGTAACTGCCCCCCCCAGATACATGTGAATTGTTATACACAGTCGGAAGTAACATATAAGGGGTACCTGTCCAACTCTGACTGCACCAACTAGGAAGGTGTTCACAGCAGAGAGACTAGTTTTGATGTAAGATGTGCTCTGGAAATGGTTGCGCTTAATCTTTTATTTATGATTCTCATAGCACCGTCGCCTTTGAAGTTGAGTTCGATGAAAAGTGGCTGCCTGATGATCGTAGGTCCATAAGGTTTCTTACATTCATTCTTACCATATTTTTAAATGAAACTTTGTGTATCACTACTTTTTAAGACGATTCCCAAGTAGTACTAGTTCACTGTCTAATTCTGCACCACTGTTTGTTTTCTCTGCTCAAATTTAAAGAAGGAAATTCTTGTATGAGATTTTATTCCAGTGAACTCACACTGCCTGAATTACAGGCATCACTTTTTCTTGTCACTAAGTGATAAGTAATAGAAAGTATATATATGCATATATATATATATATATATATATATATATATATATAAGCAAAACCGACTGCAGTTATGGAACCATTGAAAAATATGGAACGCTGATTGATTGTTTCTTTCAGTTTTGGAACTATCAGTTTGTGTACACTCAAAACCATGCTAAGGATTCAGTTCAGATGCCCTAGGTTGTGGAGCAGCCTTCGGAATTCAATAGACTATCAGCTCTAACTTTTGTCAATCTCCTGTAAAGCTCCACCTCCTCTCAACATTATAAGCAGAAATCTGTCTTGACATCGGATTTGATGGATCCAGCTATCACAAACTCTTTTTAGAACTACGGATAGGCTACTGAGTCAGTAATGACCAGTAAACAGCGAATTCTCGCAAAATCAAAATGTTAACATAAGCATATCTTGAGAAATACAATTAACACTATAAAAATCAATCAGTTGTGGATTAAAATATTTTAATCCCTTGCTTTCTCAATGGAACCTAGAGCTTCAGGCTTCGAAGTTACAGTAACGGTGGTGTTTCTTCCACGGGGTGAGGTTACTAGCTTCAAACCCAACTATTCCGCTTTTCGAGCTTACTATCGGACAAGCGAGATTTTAAAATGCGTCCACCGGGACTCTTAACAGAATATCACATGTGCCTGGTAAGCGTACCACCATTGGTCTTGAAAGAACAAATCAGATGTTTATTGAATTATTTGGAATTTCTACAACATTTACCTCCTTGATATTGTAGAAAGTTAACATGAATACGGTTTTATTTTATTTTATATTTACTTGGCTTTCATAATGATTTCTATTAATCACAACCCTGAATATCTGAGACAGGAATTCGCTGATATACCTCAAAAACATTTCACTAACCACAATACTACCCCAAACTAGTGGCTATCTAATCTTAGAGTATTTGGTATTATTTTGAATGTTAAAGAATATAAAATTATTGTTGTAAACTTTGATATAAGAATGAGAAGTACTACTGATTTTGAAGTTTTAGTAGCAGTGTTCAGCGCACATCAGTTGAAATTAAATAAAAGGCAACACACCCATTTCATCCTTACTGCTAGTCAAAAACCAAACAAAAAGTCTATAATGTGCCCTACGAAACAGAATTCTATCGACCATGTTGTATGTAGTTTCTGCTGCCTGTGAATAAATATAAGTAGTATGTCGTGTTGTGTCTTCAGAAAAGTTACATAAGAGGAAACTTGCGAATAAGCGGGGAACACTGGGAAGAGTTTAATAAGCAACAGACAGTGACAACTGAAAGATGTCTAATATAGAGCAGATGATAGATATTATTTCCAGACTGTGAAACCAGTATAAGGTTTTCGATTTTCGCAATACCCATCGTTCTCTAGACCAAAAATTAGCAGTAATGAATCTGGTTTATCATTTCCAACCCCTATAAATTCATGATATTGCATGAGAAAGTGTCCTTATAAGTGGTTTGCTTAACTATCCATCATACGTTCGTATTAAAATTTGGAAAATTGGCCATAAAGGTTAATTATCGCTCGTTAAGTTTTTCAGGTTTGTGGATTACTGACTGATTTCGAGATTGGTTACATTACTTAGAACCATGAAAACCAGAAAGTACTAGACATCTGTTTCGTTCTAGTTTGTGACTCATCATCAGCACACACCCACGACCCCACCAGAGAGTGAACCCAGGACTATCATGTTACAAGGCTAGCTGTCAATCATTCAGCCACTGAGACGGAAAGAAGTCTGAATTACGCCATTTCGCTGCGTTAGCCCGACCGCGAAACAATGCCATCAGTGAGTACTTGTCCTCATACCTGACTTATGTGGTGCCTACTGCTGAACATTTCCAGACTATGACAAATTAGCTGTCCAGTACACCATAGTTTTCAGCTTTTATTCTAAGTGGCATCAATTTGCGATCAAAATTGAAATCAATCAGATTCCTGCAAATCAGCCCTATAATTTTAAGACATTGTTTGAACTCAGCCTTTGGAACAAGTCTTTCGTGTTCCAAGAAAGCCACACTTATTATATAATAGTTGATAACATACTTCGCTGTTGACAAAACTGAGGTAGGTGGAGCAGGACTCGAACTAGAGGCTAACTGGCTGAAAACCAACTACTTAAACCAGTGGTGCAGACTTCAAGGTAATTCCATTGTGAAATACGTCTACTTAAATAACTCATTAGTGCAAACAGTTGAAATTCCATAAGCATCAGTGCCATTTAGAATGTAGCTTATAAAGTTCATAGTGATGTGATGTAATATATAGGTCAGTTTTAAATAGTTGTTTATGTTCTGCATGCTATTCTCTTGAACAATGCAGTGTATACTACTACACACAGACACTGAGACAATAGATGAAAACATATACATAGTAGGCTTCAAGTATATTTATGATGGTGAAAATTATGTAAGATTTCACTTTTTCCTTATGTATACTGTATACTTCTGTATGATATCAGCAATCACCTCTGTGTACATTACTTCATCATAAAACAAATATAACTTGTAGTTGTTATATGACCTCGTTTTTTTTCTAAATATTGCCATTGAAAGTCAAGGAATTTTATTGAAGCCAGCATATTTATTATTATTTATGGTTAACTCTTTGTGTATTCCTGCGTTATAATGTGTCATTCTTTGCTGAAATCACGATCATTTTATAATAGATATTATACAGCTATACTGTGCTACACGCGCACACCTTAATACTATAAGGTAAAAACACATGAGTGCTGTATATTGAGCACAGTACACATCACACACACATATATACATACATATATATATATATGCGTGTATATGCACACGAAGAACACGCCACGTCTGAATAGGTTATTGAGAAAAGAAAAGAAAGGTATTTAACCAATCACTGAATTATAAATCATGCTTACTTATAATTTAAATATATACATATGAGATAATAAGTCTTTATTATTCAAAGATAAATCAGACTCAATTAAAAAAATATTAAATTAATCATAATCATAATATCTATCAGTAATACTACTTCGTTGGATTAATATTTAATCAATTCAATCTATCCACCTGGGAATAATCTACTTCTCACCATAACACCATATCAGTATAAGACGAGTTAATATTAACAAAAATGACTGGAAGACTGTTTAATCCACAGCATTTACACTTTCCATTATTAGCCTTATCGATTGGTTTATTAGGCTATGCACTAGCTACTGCTGATTGGCCATGTGGAAATTTATTCACTCAATGTTTTAAAACACTGCCTATATTAATTGTGATTATATTATTAGCTGCAGGTGTCGGTGGATTGGGATTAATATTTTTAATTGATTTATTTGGTGCTTGTAGTAGTAAATGGATACCGGGACCAGTGTGTACAACTATTAAATTATTAATATTATTTGTTTCAGCAAGTGCAGTGCTTACAGGTAATTTATTGTATACTTATTGGAAATTACCCTATTGGTCGTATACATTTTCATTGATTGGCAGTGTAACAGCTTCACAGGTTGTTATCCTAGCTGTAATCAACTGTAGGTGTTTAGGTTCAAAACTTTAGAAGTATTTTTTTTTCTATTGTGTAAATGTATGAATGAGTGTGTATTTATTTTACTTATTTTATTTTGCTATTAACCTCAATGATTCAATGACGTATTTTGATTGTAATCAACAAGGGAAATATGGCTAAGTCTTTCATTATTTACATATATATATACATCTATTCTTCTCCTTTAATAACCTTTTACAGACAGTCTGTTTATTTGTAATGCAAACACAAACCTTATTACCTCTTTGTGCATAACAGTATTCAAGTGACTCATTTGTCTTCTACAGACTGTTTTTTTTCTCTGGATTTTCAGCCTTGCTTTTCTTTTTTTTCTCAATCTTATCGTTGGTATGTCGTGTTCCAATCGATTTCGCTTATCCCTCCAACTGTCACTTCGTCTTGGTTGTATTAACTCACTTTTTTTTGAAAAAAAAGAACAACTTTCAACATAGATAGACTGAAAGAGAACAAGCAAAGTAGAATTCTGTGTATAATAATCGCATGTATACTTCATAAATTCATAACTTACACTATTGTCCAAATCACCCCAATTGAATTCATCATCTTGACTGGTGAAGAATAAGAAGAATAAGAAGCGAAGGCTTTGTATACACTTATCTCAGTATTATCATTAATTTTCACTATCTTATTTATGTTTTGTTACTGATAAGTGAAATTTGTTTGAATTACAATTAATATTTTCCTTCTTTTTTTGAAGACACAATTGTTGCTTTATAAATCAGCTGAATGGATAAAACTGTGTTGTCGGAATCAATAGGAATGGCGTCTATCACACTTAATGTTACGTTGCCTTATTTGTCCGACAGATATTTAGGAATCTTAGTTTCCTCATCAGTCACTTCTAACGAAGAACATCCTAGATTGAAGCTGTCTCATTGTATTGATTTTTGTTTGTATATTCGGAAATATGAATATATGAACAGAAGCATTCACTCTCCGTATCTCAGACACTATTTTTCACTTTAATACTCAATCTATTGAGCCAAAGACATAGTACACGTTATTATAAAAGTCACGTGACGTCAAGTTCATCATCATTAAGAAGTAAGGCGGATTTTTGACTGTACTGCTAATCAATAGCATATAGTCTTAGCTATTCCTGAGATATCTACAAGGTACTGATGCACAAAGGTGAGATAATCAGTTGAGTAATAAATACTGACAGTGGAATTTAAAATTGTGTTGCGATTGTTTCAAAGCCAGCTATTCTCACTTCCATATCACGATATATTATATATATATATATATATATATATATATATATATTATACAATAAAACACTATTATTGATTTAGTCACGTTTTCAACACAGTCTGGTATCTACACAATTACTGTAATTATACAGTTTTGCAACTCAGTTCTCTAGTCCTCGTTCTACTTGGCAATTTTTCCTAAGGGTAATAAACTTTTCCAGATGTCCGGGATAGATGTTGCATCACACCTACTGCACCATTCTCCGTTGGTTTGATAAATGAAGCTGTACATGTCAGTCTCTCCGTCTACTCTGTTACATTCGACTTAGGACTTTCACTTTGTCCCGTCCTATTTTATGGTTATGTGCAACTGTATGTGGGTAAACATTCTAGTCTAGATTTCTCTAACATCCTATGGAACAGTAGAATGAGACATTATGATAGTTCTGAAATGTAATATAACACAACACAGTCGAGGGCAACATTAAAAACTGAAGCTTTATATGTAGAACCAACTGAAAATACTTGTAGTTTGAATTTTAAATAATTTTGGATTTAATAATGATTTGCTTTATTCCAAAACAGTAAGTATGATACAGTGTAGAATTTTCAGCATTTCGTACAATCTTGAATCTAATTTATGGAGAAGAACAACAAGAACAGAATGAAATAAATCACAGGGTACACTTAACCAAAATTGTTAACAGTATCTTATAAGTTCGAAATGTACAACTGTAAAATGGTAAAAATATTAATACTAGTAACACAACATTATAAGATAATTGGGACAGTGTCACCATAAAATTACAAACATGGGAGAATAACTGAGTCATTTTTTATGCTTATTATTATCTAGTAAATCATAAGTTTTGCACTTAACACTATATTTATCACATAGAATGATCCAACGCCTGTCCCGGTCATCTGGAATATGCTATTAAACTTACGACGTATGGACATTTAGAACAAGAATCATAAAAACGAGTTTTGCAGTTGTAGAGTTACAGCTGAATTGAATATAAGCACTTAAATTGTGCTCGAAACGTCATACAGTAAACAAAACTATTTCAGCAAGTTGCTAAAAAATAACAATGATCTGAGCTTAAAGTTGCTATTCAGAAGTTTCATGGGCTGTAAGCGATTTTAAGTAAGGATGCTATGTGAGTTTATAGTATTCTGCTGTCTTAATTTTCCTTTTAAAATTCATAAAACACTAACAACATAAAAACTTTTCACCTAAAAATCTTTTTCATTTTGTAACTGAAGTTTGCCCAGATGATCAACAAATCGCTAAGTCTTAAGGGTAAGAATAATCCTTAATCACTTTTTATGACGTATTCAGACTGCCAGGACATAAAAGACTGTCCACCAGGATCCAGTTGAACTGGGCCTTCTGTCCTGTACTTTCACGGGAACTAAGCAAACAAACTTCTGATACGAGTAAGTTGAACTTCACATACTTCCCATGATTTTTAGATGAGGTTAAGTGAATAATCTTAACCCGATCGATACCCGCTACCTTTTAACGTTTAACATTTTACGTAAGGACGTTAAGACAGTCTAGTATCACTCAATCTCCACTTTTTAAGTTTGTTAACTGTTGTATTCTGCCTATCCTTCTCTATTGCTCCACCTTAATCTTTACTAGGCTACCTAGGAAAGACTTTGTTACACTGCAAAGGGTACTAAAAGCTATCAGTAGGGCTGGTAGGGTGTCAATAAAGCAACATGTCAGTACCGTCGTAGACAGATACGCGGACTCATACAAGGAATTAGCTAATATTGTCTTGCCAGACCCTGAGCATACTGTCCATACACAATTCTTTCCTTACATTCAGCAGGTAGAACTGGAAGCAACTATAGAAGACTTTACGCTAAGACATCTAAGTATAAAAGCTCTACTGTACATTATTTCGCACACATTTTGAGGAAACTGTAGAGCTAAGACACTGTCAGCTTACAGCGAAACACTAAGCCAAACGATCCTCTTTTTATCTTATTCGTGTTAGTATTTTCACTTAGTTCACTTTTATCTTCATATTCATAATGAGTAATATCATCAATGTAAATACCCTTTTTAAATTATTTCCCCGTAAATGAGAATATTAAATGCAACAGTGTACTACATGCTGAAAATTTCATATTTGTACCAAAATACTGTTGGGAATAAAGCTGTTATTATCACCCTAACTTATCACAGTGATACGAGCTGCAATTGCTGAAAAGAATGTTCATGCATGTAAGATTTTCTAGTTCCATAATCAATAATTACCAGCTGTAATCGGTAGTTATGACTTTGATCTTCGGAAGATTAATTTCATTAGAATGTTTTTCGTACTCTGTAATTCGAAACTTCCGATTCTTATAATTAGATGTGAAATAATGACTTCACTACTCACTATACAAAATTAATTTAAATAAAACATAGCATATCCCGTTAACTGGTCTTCAGTACGTACAACAACTCATAGTCGTGCACCCCAGCATACTGATGCGATTACTATGTAAAAAAAGACCTTTACAAATAAATTTATCACTGATAAAGACTTCAATCTAGTGCTTCTAGTTTATCATCCTTTAACACTTTAATTCAGTTTAAACTTACTTTTTGCTGCATTCATTCATCCATTCATCCAATCATAGTAACTGTTGAAATAGATGGTAACATAACCCTAACATTCTCGTGGAGCGTTACATTGCTCACCTTACCTTGGCCTTATTTGTCTCACTTTCGTGTTTGTGTTTAACCGTACAAGTCATTTGAATATTAAATGTATTTACTGCTGTGAGTTCATACCTCACCTATGCAGAATATACTTACCTGATAACCTCTGTTAATATATATTTAAGAACTTGTTTTCTTTATCTCTAATCGTCATCTTTCATGCTTAAATTTCATAATCTTTTTTTCTGCAATAGAAGTTTCATCAACATGTATTTCACTCCAGAATGAAAAATAAAGTGAGGTTGTTCTAACAGAACACACAAAGTAATATTGGTTTTGGTAAGTGAACTTAATGAGAAAAATATACTTTATATTAGTATTTTAAATCATTTACTTACGTTGAATGGACTGTTATGAACACATAAATTGTAAAAATTCTACGCTTTGTTTTCTATTATCATTATTATTTTTACTATTATCATTATTATTATTACACTAATTTAACGATAAAAACTGTATATACGAGATAAAAGAGCACGATGTAGGTGACCGCGGAAATATTCATCTTTTCTAAGGCATTTGAATTCATTTCTGGGAAGTGAAGCTTAATCGATAATCTGAAAACAAAAGTATATCCGTTTCAACCAAATTAAATAAATGTAATATAAGATTACGAGAGAGAGAGCTGAACACAAAACTAGTAGTATAGAATATTTTTGGAAAATAAATGAATACATTCAGACCCACACACAATACCCATAGCAAATCAATGATCTAAGTCATCAACTAGTTCACTAACCTTTTTGTTTCTTAATATCTTAGATTATTATACTTTGGTGGACTTTGAATATGAATATATTGTCTTTTTTTTCTGCTATTATCATTGTTTTATTGATAGTCGTTAAATACAAAGTGCTTTATTCTTGGTGGATTTGAATTTAGAACCAGTTTTGAAAATATTTTTTAGTAAAGCTTTAAGATCATGCTGTTTTTAGACAAATTTTCACATGACCTTCAACCATATACAGGGATTTTTAATAAATTAAAGTTTTGAATACACAGCATGGGAATAATCAGCACTTAACCCAAAATAAGTTGGACTGTGTTGTGTTATTTGAAACAAACTAAAAGAT